TCTTTGGCTTCCTTCTCAAAGTCTTCCTGATTCGAGCAATTCCTTTTGGCTCTTAAATATTGGCCATATGGTATATTGGCCTTCACATGATGGGGATGGAAGCTCTGCCAGTGGAGCAAGCTGTTGGTTGCCGTGGGTTTCCTGAATAGGGATGTAGTAACTTGCCCATCATCCAAGATATGAATCATTAGGTCCAGAAAAACCAATTGGTTCTCATGTATGACATGAGTCAGCTGTAGGTTAATTTGATTATCGTTCAGGGTATCCACCATTTCCTTGAACAATGGAAAAGAACCCAACCAGAAGATTAGCACGTCGTCTATATAGCGATACCACTTTAATACAGATGACGTGTAGATTTCATTGGGGGTGGTAAAGACCATCGTTTCTTCCCACCACCCTAAATACAAGTTTGCATAGCTGGGTGCACACGACGAACCCATGGCAGTGCCCCTGAGTTGTAAATAATATTTACCATTGAATGTAAAATAGTTGTGAGTAAGTATATATTTCAAAAGTGCCAAAATGAACCGTTGTTCTAGTTCATTGAAAATTTTTGTCTTATCAAGAAAATAAGCCACTCCCATGAGGCCCTTAACGTGTGGGATGTTGTTATACAATGCCACCACGTCCAAGCTTGCCACGGACGTATAGGGAGGCACTGTAAGGTTTTCCAATACCAGCAAGGTCTGTTTGGTATCACGTATATGAGATTTAAGGCTTTGTACTATGGGTTGTAACAGTTTATCCAGAAATTTACTTGCTCTCTCTGTCAGACTGTGGTTGCCAGAGATTATGGGTCTCCCCGGAGGGTTACTCAAATCCTTATGCACCTTAGGGAGACAGTAGAAGGTGGCTATGGTAATATTTGACTGGGACACAATGTATTTATACTCGTTTTGAGTAATTACTTTATCTGTTAATGCTCCTTGTACCAATGTCTGTAAGTCCCTAAGAAACCCTCTCGTGGGATCTTCTTTTAGAGTTTGGTATGCCCTTTCATCTGATAAGTGTGTCATACACATATCTATATACTGGCTTCTCTGCATGAGGACTATGTTTCCTCCCTTGTCTGAGGATTTTATCTCCACTTCCGTTGCAGATTGCAATTCTTGTAAAGCCTGTCTCTCTTCTGCCTTTAGATTAGGGGTTAGAGACTGTTGGGTATGTTGACACTCTAGTTCTTTTGTACAGATCTGAACAAATAGATCAATACATGGGAAATCTTTTAGATTGGGAGTGAACCAACTAGGTGGTTTACAATCTGTTAGTGATTCTAGCTTTTCTTGTTCTGAATATAGGTCTGTAAGAAGTCTATATATTGCATTATCCTCTGGGGGGGTGGCCTAATTCCTTGAGGGTTCTAAGGTTTCTTTTTTCATGAAATGCATGCAAGGCTAATTTTCGGCCAAAAAGATTCACGTCCTTAGCCCAATTAAACATATTCCTAGAGGGTGTGGGTACAAAAGATAACCCTTTTTGTAGAAGAGAGACATGTCTGGATTTTAAAACAAAGTTGGACAGGTTTATTATTTTATTTTCCTGTAGGGCATTAGTCATTGGTAGTTGGACTTGTGTGTCTTGTAGCCCCATTTTTTCCTGTCTCTGAGTCGTTCTCGCTGTGGTTGGGGCCAGTCCTGGTCTAAAAAAGTCAAAGACGATTGGGACGAACCTGACGAAGTTTCTTGTCTGGAACTGGAGTCTGACACAGTTACAAGGGGAGGGCCTGCAAAGGAAATATTTTTTTCGGTGTTTCTAAGGATACCTCTAGTTTGACCAGTGGGAGATTTATAATTGTTTCTATTAAACCCGGGTCTTTTGTTCTGACGCCAGTGTGTTTCAGAGTCAGACCATTCGGTTTCCTCAGAGGAAGAAAACCCTTTGCCCACATTTCTATTTCTAAAGTTTCGTTTGTTTTTATTTTTAAAGATATTGCCTTCCTGAAAGTCTCTAAAATCCCTTTGAAATTTGTAATGTTTTTTGTGTCTGATATTCCTCTTAAAGTTCTCTAAGTTTTTTTGTAATTTAGTTTCCATAGATGTAAAGTTTGGATCTTTGTCAAATATTTTAATTTTCTTAATTTCACTGTCTAGCTCTCCATTGGTTTTTTCTAGGCTTTCTTGTTCCAACTTGGTCAGGAACTGCATTATCCTGGCTGAACAGTCTAGCAGGATGGAATTCCACTCTGCAATCTGTTCTTCAGTTTTAACTTTGTCAGGTAGTAGGATGTCTGGTCTAAGGCCCCTTGGTACCAATTTTTGTTCTATATAGTGCTTTAGGCTAGCCAGTTCCCAAAAGCCCCTCAATTGAGTTTGGTATAATTTTTGTATCGCAAAAAAAGCCTGGTTAATATTGCTAGATTCACTAGTAGTATTCCCCAGAGGATTAGTGGAAAACACATTTACTACATCTTCAGATCTAAAGTCTGGGTGTATCACTTGTTCTAAAAAGTCTGTCATACTTTCTTAGCTGAATTTTAACACAACGTTAGTAAATCTGTTGTATTCTATGAACCAAAAAATATATATATAAAGATGTCCTTAATTACAACTCCCTATTTGTATTAATGGTATTGAAACCTGATGAAGAAAGTAAATTGAGAAGAGAAAAATAGAGAGTGTGTATCAAACTGCTGGAATGAGTAGGGGGGTAACCCCTGTTGAATGAAATATAAGTAGGAGAAAAAATACAACGTAAACCTGGGGAGTGCACATCCAGTATATCCTAGTGCACCTACAGGATACTTGTATAGAAGTCAGCAGTCTCAAAATTAAAATATAACTATAATAATTTAAATTTAAAAATATATACGTGGTCGGAGAGGACAGAACTTACAAAAGTCAGGAGGAAGGAGATATGCTTGCTAGTATCAAATAGTGGCACAAATAATGGGAGTGCAGGAGGGAGGGGGTAGATAGAGAAAATCTGAACTCCAACTAATCCCCAGTGTACCCTCTCTTGCCTAAAGCAACCCAAAAGCCCAAAGCTAGCAAAGTCACTAACTCCTAACTCTAAAACTTAAATAATAAGCCTGACGGTAGAAATAGCTGCTAAATCGAAGAGAAACTGTCCTAACTAAAAACCAAATCGGGTAGAGAGATCTCGAGGGGGGTGACTAACTATAAAGTAATGAATTTTGCAGGAGCGTCCTCCCTATCTATCAGATTCACCCTCCCCTCAGTTCTTCCCGACGCGCGTTTCGCCGACTAGCGGCTTTTCAAGGGAACCGGGTGTAGGAGAGATCGAGGTTTAAATATCCCGCCCTCTCTTGTGATTGGCCCGAAGTAATAGCCTGCACGGAGGGAGGGAGCTTGGGTCTCATCTGTGATTAACCCTTTCAGGGTCAAAAACGAGTGTATACACGGATGGGACACTCACTTAAATAAAGAAAAAGAATGTCATTAAATAATGTTCAGTATTGGAACGGACGATGAAATAGTTCAGCTAGAGCTGCAATGATACTTATAGTGGTACTCTACACAATGTTAAACAAAAAAGATACTGCTAGAATAGTAAACATGTTAAGATTTATTACAAAGTAAATTAATGTTTCAGCAACGAAAGTTGCAACTTATAAGATAGTGCTTCTTCTAATATGTATTGGTATGATGCCAATAATATTGAAAGCACTTATACACTAAAGGTATTTAACTTGTGTCAAATGTATAGTAAAGGTATTTCCACTTATTTAAAGGGAAACACATAGTGATTAAATGAAATCACACTAGTATAGATAGTTACTGAGGGGTGTATAGAAAAAGTAGGTATGAAATGTCTTAAATTTAAATCCTTTCTAATTGATTGCATAAATTCTGATTTGCCAATATGACAGCTGGAGTTCTTCACTACATATAGTGTAAGCTTCCGAACCATTCCTATACGGCAATTTAAGACACTAACCATCTCTAGGTATGAATAAACGGAGTAAAGTTAAACTCCTCGTTTAATCCTTTGGGGTATAGTGTTTGGAAGGAGTAAATCCATCTGGACTCAGCTTTCAGTAGCGAGACATTGATGTCCCCTTTCCTATGGTTCTGAAAGATTTTTTGGATTACCTGGAATTTGAGTACCTTAGTTTGGGAGGCGTGATTAAGTCTTACATGTCTCGCAATAGGGGTATCCATATGAGGATTCATAATGGAATTGATATGTTGTAAAATTCGTCTGCGTAGTTGTTGGTATGTCTTCCCAATGTACTGTAACCCACAAGCACATGTCATAAGGTATATTACATTGGTAGATATATATACTGGATGTGCACTCCCCAGGTTTACTTTGTATTTTTTCTCCTACTTATATTTCATTCAACAGGGGTTACCCCCCTACTCATTCCAGCAGTTTGATACACACTCTCTATTTTTCTCTTCTCAATTTACTTTCTTCATCAGGTTTCAATACCATTAATACAAATAGGGAGTTGTAATTAAGGACATCTTTATATATATATTTTTTGGTTCATAGAATACAACAGATTTACTAACGTTGTGTTAAAATTCAGCTAAGAAAGTATGACAGACTTTTTAGAACAAGTGATACACCCAGACTTTAGATCTGAAGATGTAGTAAATGTGTTTTCCACTAATCCTCTGGGGAATACTACTAGTGAATCTAGCAATATTAACCAGGCTTTTTTTGCGATACAAAAATTATACCAAACTCAATTGAGGGGCTTTTGGGAACTGGCTAGCCTAAAGCACTATATAGAACAAAAATTGGTACCAAGGGGCCTTAGACCAGACATCCTACTACCTGACAAAGTTAAAACTGAAGAACAGATTGCAGAGTGGAATTCCATCCTGCTAGACTGTTCAGCCAGGATAATGCAGTTCCTGACCAAGTTGGAACAAGAAAGCCTAGAAAAAACCAATGGAGAGCTAGACAGTGAAATTAAGAAAATTAAAATATTTGACAAAGATCCAAACTTTACAGCTATGGAAACTAAATTACAAAAAAACTTAGAGAACTTTAAGAGGAATATCAGACACAAAAAACATTACAAATTTCAAAGGGATTTTAGAGACTTTCAGGAAGGCAATATCTTTAAAAATAAAAACAAACGAAACTTTAGAAATAGAAATGTGGGCAAAGGGTTTTCTTCCTCTGAGGAAACCGAATGGTCTGACTCTGAAACACACTGGCGTCAGAACAAAAGACCCGGGTTTAATAGAAACAATTATAAATCTCCCACTGGTCAAACTAGAGGTATCCTTAGAAACACCGAAAAAAATATTTCCTTTGCAGGCCCTCCCCTTGTAACTGTGTCAGACTCCAGTTCCAGACAAGAAACTTCGTCAGGTTCGTCCCAATCGTCTTTGACTTTTTTAGACCAGGACTGGCCCCAACCACAGCGAGAACGACTCAGAGACAGGAAAAAATGGGGCTACAAGACACACAAGTCCAACTACCAATGACTAATGCCCTACAGGAAAATAAAATAATAAACCTGTCCAACTTTGTTTTAAAATCCAGACATGTCTCTCTTCTACAAAAAGGGTTATCTTTTGTACCCACACCCTCTAGGAATATGTTTAATTGGGCTAAGGATGTGAATCTTTTTGGCCGAAAATTAGCCTTGCATGCATTTCATGAAAAAAGAAACCTTAGAACCCTCAAGGAATTAGGCCACCCCCCAGAGGATAATGCAATATATAGACTTCTTACAGACCTATATTCAGAACAAGAAAAGCTAGAATCACTAACAGATTGTAAACCACCCAGTTGGTTCACTCCCAATCTAAAAGATTTCCCATGTATTGATCTATTTGTTCAGATCTGTACAAAAGAACTAGAATGTCAACATACCCAACAGTCTCTAACCCCTAATCTAAAGGCAGAAGAGAGACAGGCTTTACAAGAATTGCAATCTGCAACGGAAGTGGAGATAAAATCCTCAGACAAGGGAGGAAACATAGTCCTCATGCAGAGAAGCCAGTATATAGACATGTGTATGACACACTTATCAGATGAAAGGGCATACCAAACTCTAAAAGAAGATCCCACGAGAGGATTTCTTAGGGACTTACAGACATTGGTACAAGGAGCATTAACAGATAAAGTAATTACTCAAAACGAGTATAAATACATTGTGTCCCAGTCAAATATTACCATAGCCACCTTCTACTGTCTCCCTAAGGTGCATAAGGATTTGAGTAACCCTCCGGGGAGACCCATAATCTCTGGCAACCACAGTCTGACAGAGAGAGCAAGTCAATTTCTGGATAAACTGTTACAACCCATAGTACAAAGCCTTAAATCTCATATACGTGATACCAAACAGACCTTGCTGGTATTGGAAAACCTTACTGTCAGGGTCCCGCGGGCGGCTGCGAGGGGAGGTTGCAGTCCGCTCGCGGCACTCACCCTCCAGCCGTCCGCGGTCCCCCTTCAGCCGTGTGCTCGGCGGGCGGCACCCTCTCTCCCACGGGTGCCGTCCGCCTCTTCCTCTGTGTCTCCCAGCGGCAGCATGCATGACGCTGCACGCTGGGAGACCGCCCACTTTAACCAACGCCGGGGTCAGTCACCTGACCCGGCGTTAAAGGCACAGTGCCTCAATCACAGTGGGAGGTTTAGATATCTCCCACGTGTGATTGTTAATTCTGATTGGAAATTATCCAATCAGAATTAACCTTTGGATTTATATACTTACCTTTCCTGTTCCTCTTCGCCCTGTTGTGGTCTTTGCTTGTTAGTATTGATTCTGAACTTGTGCTTCTGGTTACGTACTCTCTGGCTTGTTATCCGACTCTGTGACTTTCTCCTACCCTTTGACCTCGGCTTGTTTCACGTTATTCTGTCTTCTGGTTCCCCTTACTCGGCTTGTTTCCTGACTATTCTTTGTGTGCTTAGCCCGGCCACTCTAAGGTCCGGTACGGCACTTTGTGTGTGTGTGTGTGTTGGCGTGTTTGGTTCCCCGAATCGTGACATTACAACAGGGCCATAATGGAACCTGCTGACATACCACAGCTCCTAGTTAATCAGGAGGCTAGAATGGATGGCTTGGACCACCGTATGGACCAGTTTGCCCAAGCTTTACAAACCATACTGGCTCGTACTGCACACTTGCAACCTGCCGTCCAGGAGGCTGCTGCTGCTGTGCCCGAACCCATTCCCACTCCGGTACCCGTTCCTGCTCATGTTGTTCACATGACACCGCCACAACGCTACAGCGGTGACCCAGCATTGTGTCGTGGTTTCCTTAACCAAATTGACATCCATTTGGTGATGAATCCACGTTCCTATCCCACTGACAGATCCAAAATTGCCTTTTTGATTAACCACCTGTCCGGGAAAGCTTTAGCATGGGCTAACCCCATGTGGGAGAATACATCTCCTATGTCCTTTGTAGAGTTCTTGACAGCTTTCAAACGTACGTTTGATCAACCCGGTAGGGTTGCCTCTGCTGGCAAAGCTCTGCTTAGGGTACGACAGGGTAATAGATCTGTAGCGGATTATACTATCGAATTCCGCACGCTAGCAGCTGAAGTGGTTTGGAATAATGATGCCCTCGTAACAGCCTTTCAGGAGGGTTTGGCCGCCTACATACTGGATGAAATAGCATCCAGGGAATTGCCTGTTCTTCTAGATGATGTCATAGATTATGTCATTCTTATTGATAACCGTATTAGAGAGAGGCGTAGTCAAAGACGGATGGATACACGGGCATTACCTGCTCCCCCCTCTACTGCTTTACTAGCACTACCCGCTCCTAGTCAACCAACCCCCGAACCCATGCAATTGGGTGCTACGGGGCTAACTGAGGCTGAAAGAGCATATCGTAGAAGGGAGGGGTTATGCCTTTATTGTGGAAAGAGGGGGCACCACTGTAATGCCTGCCCTAAGTTACAGGGAAACTACAGCACCTAAGGCCTAGAGAGGGGTCGGCCTCGGGTGTTATGACTTTGTCCCCTCATGTGTCCATCTCCAGACCGTTTATTACGGTTTCTCTTTTGGTCAATAAAACCACCATAACCACCAAAGCCTTGATCGATTCAGGTGCGGCAGACAACCTTATGGATGAGAACTTTGCTAAAACCGCAGCCTTAACTTTGATCCAAAAGGCCACACCCTTGGTCGTTGAGGCCATAGATGGTAGACCACTTGAGAAACCTCTGGTGACCCATGAGACCCAAGAAATAGTGATGTCTGTAGGTGTTTTGCATAAGGAAAGGTTAACCTTCCAAATAATTGACTCCCCTACTGCTTCCATCGTTCTGGGTTTTCCCTGGTTAGTGAAACACAACCCTGTTCTCGATTGGGGTTGCTTGGATATACTATCCTGGGGGGAATCCTGTCAACGAGACTGTATGGCTCAGGTACGTCCTGTTTGTTTACTCAACGTGCCCACGGCTAAACCACTCTCTGTTTCTGTCCCTTCTGTATATGCAGATCTTGCATTGGTTTTTGAAAAGAGGGAGGCAGATAAGCTACCTCCACATCGTGACTATGACTGTGCCATAAACCTTTTACCGGGCACTATGCCCCCTAGGGGTAAGGTCTACCCTCTTTCTGAGAAAGAAAACCAGGTCATGGAGGAGTACATACGAGAATCCTTAAGGAAAGGTTTTATTAGAAGGTCCTCCTCTCCTGCTGGTGCTGGTTTCTTTTTTGTGGCAAAGAAGGAGGGCGATTTGAGGCCGTGTATAGACTACAGGGGTCTGAACAATATAACGGTTAAAAACGCCTACCCTATCCCCCTCATCACTGAGTTGTTTGACCGCGTTAAAGGTTCTAAGTACTTTACTAAACTAGACCTCAGGGGAGCTTATAACCTTATCCGTATAAAGGAGAATGATGAGTGGAAGACAGCGTTCAATACGCGTAGTGGGCATTATGAATACCTGGTCATGCCTTTTGGACTGTGTAACGCTCCTGCTGTGTTTCAGGATCTCATAAACGATGTCCTTAGGGATCTATTGCATGTCTGTGCCGTGGTGTACCTTGACGACATACTTGTATATTCTCCTGATTTGAAGTCACATCATAAACATGTTAGGATGGTGCTTAAAAAATTATTACAGAGCGGACTTTATTGTAAGTTAGAAAAATGTCTGTTCGATCAGACCTCTGTGCAATTCCTGGGATATATAATTTCTGAACAGGGTTTTAGTATGGATCCTGCTAAATTGGAAGCTATACTGTCCTGGCCACTTCCCCAAGGACTTAAGGCTATCCAGCGTTTTATAGGTTTTGCTAACTATTATAGAAAATTTATAAAAACTTCTCACCACTTATCTCTCCTATCACAAAGCTGACTAAAAAAGGTCTACACCCTAGGGTTTGGACTCCTGAAGCCCTTAAAGCCTTCGAAACTCTCAAGAAAGCATTTGCCTCTGCTCCAGTACTACACCACCCTAATCCTTCTCTTCCCTTTGTTATGGAAGTAGACGCTTCTGAATCGGGGGTGGGAGCAGTACTATCACAAAGGTTATCGTATGACGAACCCCTCCATCCCTGTTGTTTCTTTTCTAAAAGGTTGTCTGATCCAGAAAAGAATTACGATGTTGGGAACAGAGAACTCTTAGCTATTGTGTTAGCTTTTAAGGAATGGAGGTACTTATTAGAGGGTTCTAGACACAAAATTATGGTTCTGACAGATCATAAGAACCTCTCCTATATAACCGATGCTAGAAGGTTGTCCGCCCGACAGGCTAGATGGTCTCTATTCCTTTCGCGATTCCAATACATTATTACCTATAGACCTGGTTGCCGTAATGCCAAAGCTGACGCTATCTCTCGACAGTATGAACCTTTAGAATTTGTTAACCCAACTCCTGAACCTATTGTACCAGCTTCTCAGATCATAGCTGCTACCCGTTTGGTTGTTTCGTCTCCCTTCCTTGAGAATATTAAGACATACCAAACCCAAGCGCCCCAGGAGACGCCTGTTGGTAAACTATACGTGAAAGTAAATGACAGAAAAAAGTTGTTAACATTATTTCACACCGCCAAAACTGCTGGTCATCCGGGGGTTACCAAGACTTATAAGAGCCTCCTTCAACAGTTCTGGTGGCCTTCACTCAAGCGAGACGTAGTGATTTTGTTCAGGCTTGTCGGGTCTGTACGCAGTGTAAGTCTCCTAATATGAGACCCCAAGGCCTACTGATGCCTCTATCTATACCCAAGAAACCATGGACCCACTTGTCCATGGATTTTATTGTAGACCTTCCTCCTTCTGATGGTCAGACGGTGATATTAACTGTGACGGATAGGTTCTCTAAAATGGCCCACTTTATTCCGCTTAAGAAACTACCCTCTGCGATTCAGCTTGCCCAGGTGTTTGCCAAGGAAGTGTTCCGCTTGCATGGGGTACCTCAGGATATGGTTTCTGACAGGGGCCCGCAATTTGTCTCTCGGTTTTGGAGGGGCTTTTGTGCTGAGATGGGGGTCTCCTTGTCGTTCACTTCCTCCTATCACCCGCAATCTAATGGTGCAGCCGAACGTGCTAATCAGTCTGTGGAATTGTATTTGCGCTGCTTCACTAATGCGCACCAGGACGACTGGTCTCGCCTTCTTCCGTGGGCTGAATTTGCCAGGAATGCGGTGTCTCATTCGTCTACTGGCTTAAGTCCTTTTGAGGTTGCTTATGGGTTTCGGCCTTCTGTCCTTCCCGGGCGTTCTCTGACAAGGGAATGCCCGCCTTGGACCAGCACCTCGCCTCTTTACGGAAGACGTGGGATCAGGTCCATATTGCGCTGTCTCGTTCAGCAGCTGCTCAGAAGAAGTTCGCTGATCGCCATAGGGGTGCGACCCCTTCTTATGCTCCGGGTGATAGGGTGTGGTTGTCCTCCAAGAACCTCCGTCTCAGGGTCCCCTCCATGAAGTTTGCTCCCAGGTTTCTTGGTCCCTACAAAGTGTTACGTAGGATCAACCCCGTTTCCTACT